GATTAGGGAATACCGTAGAATCCCGTGAATCTCTCCCGCGTTATCGACGCGCAGCAGATTTTCGCAACGTCATCGAATTCTGATCACTGTCTCGATCGAGCTGGATCGAGCTGGATTGAGCGAAGCGCCACGCTCAGCTCAGCCACGTTACTCCGAAACGTCGTCCATCGCTGTTTCGACCAGCTGTTCCGCTCAACTACGCGTCAGACGACAGACCACGACAGACCACGAGAGACAGACACGCCTGATCACGCCGTCTCGTTTCTAGGACAGCTATTCCTTGAGAATAGTACGCGACCCGACGGCAGGGCGCGCTGCCACCATCGTCGTCATCGTCGTCGCCCCGTCACTAGGTGAATTGATGAATTCGCCGCTGCCGAGTGCACCAGCCAGCACCAGCCAGCACCAGCCGGCACCAGCCAGGTGCGCCCTCATATCTCACCGCACTTGTCCGATGCTATTTCCAGCGATACACCGTCCTTTCCCGCTCCGACGTCCAGGCTGCCTGCCTGCCCTTTCGACGGGAATAATGGAAGTCTATCGAGCGACCGCGGCGACGACAACTAATTATAGATCTAACGAGTTCGACCCTCAAGCCTTTGGTGTGTTATTTCACATTCGTTTGTTCTACATAGGAATTTAAAAGTTTAAGAGAGAGAGAAAAGATGAGATTCGATTCGATCTGTCGCATTAATTAGAGTGTATTAATCCTCCTCCGGAGCTGAGGGTTTATGTAGATTCACATAATTAGAATTTTTCTCAACAATATTAATTTAATTTTAATTCTTTACGTTATACCTACAAATTACATTATTCTTATTAAAATACATATAGTATTCATTTTTTATTTCATTTTGGTTCCTTGAAATTAAGCTACGTAAAAAGAAGCGAATGAGCCAAGCTGGATGATCGTGCTAAAATTAATAACGAACAACTTATGCTCATTTCTACCAATGTAGTTTAATTTTAATCTTGGTTCACGATTAACTCTTCATCATTTTCGAGCTTTAATGCCAGTTTCTATTTCAATGTAGATTAATTTTAACCTCGGTTCAACTTTATTCTTTATCTTTTTGAATTCTTATAATTAAAAATAGACGAACCCCAAAATTAAAGTTAGTCTACATAGGAACGACCATTAGAAATTGAATATAATAGCCAGGCCAAAACTAATGTCCATTTCTACCTACACTTGAATTAACTTTAACTTTTTATTTATTTCTAGTTCTCTAACATAAGAGAAATAACATTCAAATGTTTTTTAATTACAAATTCTTGCAATACAAACGATCATTTCGATCAATTAAAAGGTCCTCTTCGATGCGGTTAAAATAAATAATTCCTTGAAATTAATTAGTTCTTTAATTAACATCCATAGAACTTAAATCTTGTTCACGGTGTTAGAAATCGCTTCGAGATCTCGGACGGAAAAAGAATGAACGCATTTGAACAATTCAGCCATTTGCATTTAAAATACGATTGTTCGATTCTTTCTCTGTCCGAAATTTCAAAGCAATTTCTAGTTTTGTGGATACAAAGCTTTACAGATCCAGCATGAAAATTATGCTACAGATTTTAACGTCAGCTCCGGAGAGTTATAATTTTCACTTCGAGAGTTTTTCGATTTCACATTTGGATATTTATCGTAAAATATCGAAATTCATTATCGAAATGATAATAGGTTTTACTCTATTGTAGTTGAAAGAACTCGCGCAGCTGCTTTCTCCCAATCTATATCATAAAAATTGTGACAGCTTTAACAGTAACGTCATTAAAAGCGACAGTAATCGCTGGCTGCTTCCAATCCAGTGAACTTGAATCGCACACGCTCGAGTGGGCGATGCAAGTAACACAATCTAACGTGCCACGACAGCGATTTGCATCGTGCAATACGTCATCTCTTTCGACACTCTTTCAATCGTTGTCTATATATATATAAATGATTAACGATTCATTTGAATGATATCTATATGGAGAAAAATGTCTGATTTAATTAAATGGAATTTTGAAAACAGACGAATCACAGATTAACTTTCTAGTTAAATCTACTAAATTCTAATAGGATGAAGACTATATGAGAAAAATGTCTGATTGGATCAATTGGAATTCTGATTCGTTTATTTTCAACAAGAATTCCAATTAAACAGACAGTTTTTATTTAACCAAAAAGTTCTGATTCGTCCATTTTCTTGTCCTGTCCTGAATAAAAATTCCGATTGTTATAATCAGAATTTTCTGGTTCGTTAATTTTCATTCAGACATTTTTCTCGATGCAGTGCATGCGGTTACGAAAACTCGCGCCAACGAATTCGCAAATCGATCGGATTCCGAACGCAAGGAGTTTTGCGATCCGAAAGTAAACGACCGACGTAGCATCCGTTCGTCTCTTTCTATTCTCATTACTATATTTAGATACGCACTTAGAGTGCATCACAAATGTTGGAACAGGTATACCGTGTGTGAATGACCGAATACGCATGACGAAACGTTGCGTGTTCCACGGTTGCGGGTTGACGGCGGCGGAGGGTGGAGGGTGGAGCGCCGCGCGAGGGAGAGAAGAAAGAAAGAGAAAGTACAATCGGGACGAACGGGCGTGAAGGAGACGGCAGATTGGACACGGGGACAACGAATAGGTAGAGACAGGGACGTAGCGCGCGACTTCGATTTCTCTGCCACCTGATACTAAATCAGGAAGGTGCGAATCCGCGCTCAGGTTGGTCCTCGCGTTAAAGATAACTTTTATGAGAAAAAAAAAAAGAAAGAAAAATAAATTGAGTAATCACTTTTTTTTTAACAGTAGAATGATTTTTCTTTGCATGTACGATCCACTTAATGCTATAAATGCTTTGAAGCAATTTTTTGATTGATCAATTAGATTGAAATTCTTTCTCGCGATTGAAGAGAGAGAGGGTTTATTCTATAATCTCTTCGCGTGCGATTACTTACGTTTTATCGCTTACGGTCTAGCTTGTTTACATTAGACGCCCGACGCATACTCGAGTCACCCCAGCGATGTGCGAGTAACGTTTTAACGACGTCTTATTGACGTTAAAGACGTCATTAAACATTATTAAGACGTAATTTGATGACACCTTCCTTCTTGAAATACGTTATGCAAGATTTCCAATTAATTTGCGAAACTTATCATCTGCGAAAATTCCAGTCTGCAGAAGGCAGCTTACTGCGATCCTACACAGGAAAATGATGAATACTTTAAACAACATCAGCTACAACAGCAGTCAAATTGAAAATAATCTTGTTTCAATTTCAATGATAATATATTAATGAAACAAATAACATTTTGTTAAAAGAAGAAGTAGGCGTTTCATTAATATTGTTATTTAATGAGCATGATTATTTTCAGTTTATAGACTGTTGTTGGCTAATGCTATTAAATCAACATATTTTATCATACGATACTCGACGCATTATCGATTCCAAACTCCACGATAGCACTTCTCTATTAACTTTGTTTCTTCAGTAATAACAATCATTAATGAGAGAGATCGTGAAATCTTATCGATTCGGTATTACGAATACTTATCACAATACTTAGATCCACTTACAATTAGTACTGTAAATGCTTCGAAGCATTTTTTGATTAGTCAATCAAACGCTTCGAAGCATTTGTAGCATCAAGTAAACTGCACCCTAAAGCCTAGTTCACACTCGTTGCATCGTGATTGGCTAAAATAGAACCGGGTACCGCAACTGGCAATTCGTAGGATGATTGTGGCTTTATGTCCGTTTCCAGCAACGTAGATTAACCTTAATCTCGGTTCAATTGACATGCACTTAATCTTTTTCTAATTCTTAGAACTGAAAAAGGATGAACAGTAAGTCAAACCGAGATTAAAGTTAATCTATATTGGTGGAAACAGACATTGGTCGTTTATACTTTGGAGAAAGATCCGAGGCTTTCTAGTAGCAAATTTACTTTCACAATTGTCAATCTATTGTTCATTAATCTTTCGACGATGACTTTTTCTAACTGTCCGTTTATAGAGTTCATTTGGCTGAACGACTTCTCTCCTCGTTGGCGAGGCGAGGCGAATAAACGCCGATCTTTGCATTTCCCCTTTGTGCGCACTGCGCACTTGTGCTAGAAACAATGCGCTTTCTCACGGTGCGCTGCAGAATTCTTAGCGAGTTTAGCGTTGGCCACGCTGTACATACTACTTCGGAGAGCACGAGTGGCATAAGTGCATACACAGCGCATTCTACTTTCGTACGATCGCACGCGACGATTTGCGTGTCTCAATAAAACAGAGACATTCGCTCTCCCTGCATTTTTAACGCTTGCATTCTTATTCGCCCTCGATGCGCGAATATCACAGAGAAAACGTTACTTCCTACCGTTTTCTTATATCAGTCAGTCTCGTTATTTCTTTCTGAGATCGTTTAACATTACATGACACCCTGAAAAAAATTATGTTAATCATGTTATCATGATATTAACAATATTATTCTAATTGAAATTAATTTATAAAATTAATTAATTCTAATTAAAAAAGAATTACTGTTATTGAATTTTAACTAAGAGTTAAATTAATTAAGATTACTTTCAATTAAACTAATGCTATTAATACAACTTTATTCTTTTTCGTGTCATTTCGGGATTCGTTCCGTCTATACAATGTCTAATCAGGAATTCGTAAATAAAAGAAATATGGAACGAATTGAGAATTTATTTATCCATGATGTCTACACTGAAAAAATATTCTAAATTTTATAATCAATTATTTGTTTGAACAGTACCAACTAAATATAAAGACATATTTATTTGGACAGGAATCGTTAATTTGATTTAACTATCTTTTTTTATTGTGAGTAAATTTTAGTTGGCACTATTAAAAGAAATATTTATTAAAATTTAGTACATTTTTTCTCAGTGTATAACCATGAACCGATGAAAAATATTACAGATAGTCTCAGAATCTGTTTCGCGCGAACGTGGCAGTGGAAGAAGAAATCGACGATACCCTTCGATTCGTCGTCACTATGATTCTTCTCCTCGATCGTACGGCCCTGACTTTACCCACAGTGGGGGCAGAAGAAGCGGAGGCAGAGGGTGTCGGTCGTCAGGTCGGCGCAGCGGCGAACAGTGGCGAGCGGACTCGTACCCCAGCTACGGGTCGAGACTCGAGACTCGAGACGAGTTGGCGAGCTGGCGAGCTGGCGAAAGCGTCGCAAACGCGTTCGTTTGTGTGTTGTCGAGGAGTTCGCGGAGGGAACGCGAGATTTCCAAAAAAAAAAAAAAAAAACGTACAAGAAGCATCTTCACCAGACATTCTAGATCGTGGAGTCATCTCAGGGAACCATCGTGTTAAAAAAAAAAACTTGTAAAGAAACTGGTTTGTAGAAAAACTCGCAAGTGACAAAAGACTTCTCTGTGATTATGGAAGGTCCTCCCTGTTTGTCGTGGGGTGACTAGCGTCGACTAGCATCGTTTCCTGGTGAAGCGCCGGTTCGATAGTGATCGAGGATACTTTGGAGAGCACGTCGCGAGAGCATCCGGAGGGACGGAGGGATGCCAACTATTGAGCGGAGATGCACGTGTGTCGCGAGTCGCGACGCTCGCCGGGACCGGGGGTAGAACTCCGTCGAGCCGTCTCGCTCCGAAAAACAAGCGTGACATGTCAACCTTGTTGGACTTGGAAGGAGTGACAATCGGGAACGAGAATCTCTCGTCTGAGAACATCAGGGCAATTTCCTGGACGCTAGACTCCATTCCTGCGACCATTTCGCAGTCCTCTATCCGCGGTTGTTAAATCTGAACCAGATAGTATCGGTTCGATACGTCGGCGTCGCGACGTCGATGACGTCGTCTGAAGAAACTTGGAATCGCTCTACAGTCGTATCATTATCTAGTCGATCTAGATATGACGACACCGAATGCAGCCCTAGTTGCAAGATCTCGCGATTACTCCCGGAGAAGCTGGCAACCACCGCGATCGTCGACGACGTTCCACCGTGCTGCCGACGACCCTGAATGCGTTCCAAAATGTAATTCTTTTTCGTCAAGCCGATGACGGGTTCTACGCGAAAGGAAGCTCGCGCACTCTGCTGATTCCGTAGAATTGCGATCGTCGTCGCGAGATGTTACCGCCGAGCATAATCGACGTGCAGGGCGCCATACCGCGCGATCTGACGACAAACAGTCGCGGTCTGCTGCTGTCGGAGACGATGTGCGGGACCGAGCTGCGCTCCGCCGAGGTGGCGGCGACCAGCTGCCACGTCGCGAGATACCGCGAGGAGTTCGACGAGACCATCCGCACCGTCTCGGAGCCGGAATGTTCGAAGCGGAGGATCGATTCCGCCGGGACTGGCAGCACCAGGTCGGTACCGGACGGCCGGTCGCGTCAAGGCTTTTCCAAGGGCTCCGCCTCTCTGCAGAGCCTGGTGCGTCGCAGGAGCCGCAGGCACGGCACGTCCTTACCCTCGGAGGTCGAGCTGTCTTCGAGGCAGG